AGTCACCCTGGTACTTTCATGCCGAAATGCGTGCTGACGTTTTGTTTCATTTTAGCCGCCTCTGTCAACTGTCAGACTGTCACTGTCAACCAATAAACTATTAGGCTGTTCATTTGTACTGCTTTTCTTGCTTCAAGCAGATCTCAGCATCAGCTGATCGCCGTTCACTTGTCCCATAACTCTCATATATAAGCTCATAAAATAGCAGCTCCTAGCCGATCTTCCTGATTTTTCGAACAGGTAGCAAGTACAAATGAACAGCCTATATTATTAGCTGCTTTCGGAAATGTAAATCCTGGATCGAGTAGGTTAATATCAGCTGATCGCGGTTTAGCTCGTTTTCAGAGTAGATTATTCAACGTTTCCGAACGATTGGGATCGACGATCGCCGGCACCCGCGTTTGTTTTTCTCGTTTTTCTTCAACGATTTGAGGTTACGTCTTAAGGTACCTTTGACTTTTCAAAGATACGGCAAACTACCCTAAACACAGCAAATCACAAGAATTGAAACACAAAACGGAAACAAAACATATAAAATAAACATAACACATAACCAAAGAAATCAAACAGCTGATAGATTAATTTTCTACCCACGTCAAGAGCAGTTAACAAGATCACAAGCATATGAGAAAACCAGTCAACAAGATCACTCACCGACCGCGAGTACTCGACTTCGGATCATTTTTCAAACGATGAGATTACTAATCCAATCTAACCGATTAATCGGATCACACTTTCCAAAAGCGACTATTATAAAAGTTCCGATATAGCGAAAAGATTTTATCGATATTTTTTTCGATATATCGAATCTAATCTATCTATCGATAATATTTTGATTTCTACAAAACATCGATATATCATTGCCATCCCTACCCACGCGCAAAACTAAATTATAGGTCTGTTTCAATACGTCAAAAATCGTCCCATGAAACCACACAGTGGTTTCTACGCACACATTTTACGTTTTGCGCAGAATCGTGACGGTACATTGTACGGTTTCCTGCTGTGGTTGGAACATACCTTATATAGCATAAGGCGCAAGCACTAAGCACCAGACTTCCCGTTGTGGGCCGGACTATCCCGATTATTATCATAAAAAAAAACTAGAGATACAGAATAGCAAGGACGACAGATGGACAGAATACCACAAACACACCACTTGTATAATTCTTATACAAAGTTGTGTAAATTTAAATTACATGATAACTGGATATTACTACATGGAACGGAATGACCATTAAAGACGTTTGTACTTCCGCATTTCCCATCAGAGCTCCCATGGGTGCTCCGCACCCATGAGAGGTTGCTCATGGGTGCACCTGCCCCGATGTCCCCATGTAGTCGGCGCCAGTGTGCATCGACCTACCAAACACCATGTATTTTCAGTTTTGAATTGTGGTAGAAGTCCATCGTTAAAGTGGACTAATATGAAATTATTTTTTAAAAGGGAAAGACAATCTCCACAATAGAAAAAAGCAAATATTTGTTTGAAAAACTATATTATGCATGCATCGTCAGGATTGACAAAGCATAATAATTAATATAATTGATAATTATTATTAACTGATTTCGTGTTGTTTGCCAAATAAATTAATAAATAATTAGAAACTAAAGGTGACAGTAACATTGTAATCCTCGACCACTAAGTGAGAGGGGTAGAGATTAATTAACATTACTTAGTTGATTTAGGTATACTAACTGCAAATGCCATATAGGCTATTCGATTATCCAAATGCGGGCTATTACATACAAATATAAATTTTGCAATAAAACCTTATTTTTTTGAATAGATTTCCATCTCCGACTTTAATTATGATTATTGCATTATGTGACCTACTGGTTTGCATATTAGACGCCAGTGTTAATTTGTATAATAATGATTTACTATAATTACATCAATTTATCACCATTAGGTAAGTACCTATAATGTGAAAACTAGCATAAGACACATAGTACACACAATAATAAAAGTATTACATCAGGATAGTAATCAGAAGTTGGATATTAAATAATTTAAACTAGAGAAAACAGAGGTATAAGGAGAAACCAGAGGAAACGATACCAGGTACAAGGGCTTCAACGAAGAAACATCTATTTATAAAATTAACATGATATCTGATATCATATTAGTGAGAGTGGGAAAAGAAATTGCATAGAAAAGAACAGAAAGGGAACGCTATATCTCCTCAGAAACAAAAGAACTTATATATAGATAGATAGTTTTAAGTACATTTATTATGTTCATAATTATAAAACTGTGAACTGTTATTGAATAAATTATTGAAATTGAAAAAAAAAGTTAATACAATTGAAAAAAAATATGAAAGGAATTGAAAAATTGTGTCCACCTTAGAAACAATATCTCTTGAAATTTTTTAACTATTGGGTTTTAAAATTCGTGTATACCCATTCTTACCATGAACAGAATTCATTGTATCCGATAGGATAGAGCAACGAAACACGATTCGTTAATTTTGAAGAAAGGATAAAAAATAGAAAAAATGATTGAAAAAAAAAAAAGAAAATATATCAAATGCTTCAGACAGCAGAACAAAAACTCACAGCTCAATAGTATAAAAACAAGGAGTGGGAGCTAATGTTTTTAGAGGAATTTCTACAAATAACACAGAAATGTTACACAAACCTCAGCCAAGAACAACAATTATAAAACTAAATAAGAAAAATAGGAGACAACAAGTAAACGGGTTGACTTGGGCATCAATTGGGTGACTCTCCTTTATTCCAAAGAATGAAAAATAGCCCCAATATTAGATAATCAGAATTCTGAATTAAAATACTTTGGAGACCATGAAATCATACGCGAAAAAGGGCAAGGATGCACATCGCCCATAATAGAGAAGCAGGAATCAAAAGGAGGCCTATGTCCAGAGGTGGAGGGTAAAGGAGCGGAATAAATGGGTAGATATATTTTTAATAGACAAGATAGGATACTAAACTAATCGCTCACCTAACCAGATCTATCAAGAATACTACAAGATCCATAGTATAAAAAGAAAAAAAAAAAAAAAAATGGTAAAAGCCTTTACTAATTACTTCCCTCGGCATATCTTAAATGAGTATTTTTGAAAATATACGATAAAATATTTTTTAACACAAAGGGCCTCTTATCTTGAAAAGAAATCGACAACAACAAAAACGTATCTGATGAAGTAAACTCTAAGAACGTTCACTTTTTGTTCTCATAACCAACTTCGTACCATTTACCGGTCTTGTAAGTGACGCATAGTTTTTGGGACACCCTTGTAGCTGCGAACAAACCCTTACATTAGCATTGTCGGTTGGTGTTCAACGTGTATGCCTTCCAAAAATCATTGTTCTAGTTTGAATCATTATTGAGCTAGAACGCCAACAGACAGACAGACAGATCGACGGAAATAAAAAAACATGATGTTCGTAATCTAGGAACCTAAACGTACTTAAAAGGTCTGTTCTCACAGGAGTCTCTGACAGTTTGCAACCGGTCAGAAACAATCGCTCAGCAAAGTTACCGATTTATCTTGGAACGACGGCATTGAAAACATACATGAGCGATGCTTACTGTCAGTTCGCAGAATGTCAGAGACTCTTGTAAGAACTGAGCTATAAATGTGAAAAAATCTCGAGATCGATTTTTTACGTGAATACTTCCCTTACTATACCGAGGGAAGTAAAAATTATTTATTTATTTCCTTTAAAACGCGCGCAGAGTTCCCTGAATCCCGTTTTTTGCCTTTATTTTTTTTTCTAGATCGGAATTGAAAAATCTAGCTCCGTTAGGTTCTGGCCAGTATCCCAAAGAACAACTACTCCAAATTTGAGATGGCAATAGCAATCCTATTTAAATTAAAATTGAATCCTATCCTATAGAATCTTTACTTTTAATTTATCGGTTCAGAAGCTTGCAACCTAAAAATAGAAAACGAGTCTGAAATTTGAAACTTCCTATTCTCGAATCGATTTAACCAGGCTTAAAAACTGTACAAAATTAGATATTTAGTGACCATAACTAGTTGTGTTACACGCCAAATTTTAACCAGTTTTATATTATTATTGCTGCTTCCTAGAATATTTTAACGACTTCTTGGTAATGTTTTCGGCAAGAGTTAAGATCCTTTTTCATTCTGTTTTTGCAAATCCCATATTTTTTGAATAGCTACTTTGTCGAACTACCGGCTTGAAAGATGAAACTCAATGTGTGTTCAAGATTATTCAATTTCATTGAAAATTTTTTATATCAAAACTTCTGAATTTGGCAAGGCCATTCTCCGGAATAAATATACCTACGCAGTTCGTGAACTGAGTCAAACCAAAACTGTTTACCGAGAATAAGTCCGATTTCGGCATTCGTGCAAACCAATTTATGTGTTACTTTGCGAACTGAGTAAAGATTTACTCTTAGTTGCACTACTTCAATTCAATGTGTGCTTGCAAGAAACAATCCCAAAATTGAAAACGCATCAAATATGATATGAAGTATCACTACCATGACGTGAATGGTTTTTTAAGAATAAGAAATACCCAGAGATATACCAGAAGATTTCATGAATCCGAAGGCTGGCGATTTTGATTTTTCAAACACAATCTAGGCTAAATATACAAATTGCAAGTGATTATTTGCCGAAATATCTCTGGCATTGCCATTTTTTGAAAGTAAACAGTTAGCCGATGCGCAAAACTCGAAAGAACTCGAAATTTCTCTGGCACAAATGCCGAAATAGATTTTTTCTATGTATTTATTTACGCCACGGATTTCGTCATCTAAGTGCAAGTTAAAAATTATTTTCGTATAAAAAAAAATTCAAAAGTATTTTCTCCAATTCTCTGATCATTATTTCTGTGGTATAATGAAAAATGAATGGACCAGAATAATGTATATGCAAACATTAAGACAAAATTTATTTAAAATATTTAGGTTGCAACCCCATTCCATTGCTTCACTGAAACTATCACCTCACTGTCAATAAAAACTCACTTAGTCCAAGGAAAAAAAAATCACTCACCGAAAAGACATACGGCGAGAGCCACAAAAATGATAGGCTCGGTGGTGGCCATCGTAGCTGCTGTTGCACCACTGAACACACACTATGTTAAACTGAAGTAGTGCGACTCGATGTCTTTCACTTTAAATCTTTCATCAGGTAAATGTTGGAGTACTGCCCGTATACGTCGTAGATACCGTCACGTCATCATCATGCAGCGCTTCGATCGATCGACCCATGGTGGTAATCCACTCTCCCTCTTTGATGGTGTCAAGATTTTGCAATGTTTTTGGTTATTTTTACGATTCATTATCTTGGAATATTACATTGTAACCTCAGCTACCTGGATTGTTTCAATATGCTAATCTCAGCGCGGTTACTCTGTCGGCTTCTTCTCCTTCCCCTTCGCTCTTCACTGGATGAAAACAGACTGGAAATGGAAATTAACCTTAGAGTGAAAATATAGTTGACTAGCGGAAGATCGTTCTGATCCTACCATTTGACGTCAAATGGAAGTATCCTAGGTTTACTCTGTCAATGTGAGTTTTCGTGAGGGCATAAAGAAAATCAAGAAATATTCGGACTTTTTTCAGATTTTCGTTACTTTTCAGCTGAAGCTTCACGATTGAAAATATTGAGGACCATTTATATGTGTATCCCATGAGTAGGTACGCTTCAAAATTCTGTCCAGTAATTTGGTTAAAATGGACGGTCCAAAAACTACCATTCTCGGCAACTTTGCATGTGTATCCAACATAAGGAGATATTCAACCACGACTGTGTAGAGATAGACACAGTGCGGTACAAATTCCACCAATAATTTATTATGGTGTCAATCTCATAGGGCATTGGTTGGTAAACAAACCAGAACAATAAGATCAACATTAACTCCGACTCATGCTGTCGCTGCTAAACATTTCCTGAGGTCCACTAGGTACAGATGTGGCTGTGATGCGAGAAAATGTCTGAGGTGCGGATGGAAGCCAAAATCAACCAGGCTTCTCATAACTACCAGGCGCCTAATTCTTGATACCAGGAAGCCGAAAAACAGCGAAAAGAACCTAATATCAAGTGTGAAAAGGGATGTTGTTGCCAAGAAACGGGGTTGAAATGTTAATAAATCTGTTTGGAAAGTAAAGTTTAGTCATACACTAAGACGATCATATTTCAACTTCCGATTCAAAATTTACATTCACCTTTCTTCTTGTAATGCTTATCAATAATATCGATTGCACTTAGTATTTACTCCGGCCAGCATGATGCAATCGGACCATCCAAACTCCAGTATGAATGCCAGTATAAATGAGAAGGAGTCTATGTAATGAAAGTACACTAGTCCTTACTGGCTGCAGTGCATAAGCCATGGGATCGAAAGGGTGGATCTGAATCTGAGTTCTTGAAAATGAAGAGCAAGAAATCTATGTTGCTACCTCTTTCGATTTTCTCAAATTCCTCTATTATAAGTATCTAGTTAATGATTGACATTATGATTATGATGTTAATTATTTGAATAATTATTAATAGTAAGTATTTGATTTTAATGATTTTGGCCTCTTAACAACAAATCCTGGATTTCGTAGACACCAAATTTGATATTTTAATAAACATCTCTTATTTTGGCCTCAGACCATTTCTCTAGCGGCTATCGGAGAACAATGTGGAGGTTTTCCCAGTCGAGGAACACGTAAGGATAGTCGGAGATTTTTTTCGTTGCTTAATAATCTTTGTAATTTGAGATCAGATGGAGTGTTAAGTCTTTTAGTGTTAGCTCGTTTTTGAGTTGAAGTTTCGTTTGAGTTCTAGTCTATGTTTGAGTTTGTGGTGAGTTTTGGTTCACTTGTTGGATTTGTATAGGAGAAGCGGATCGGTATTTGCGGGATTGCGTTGGAAGAGGAGAAGAATTCCCGGATCTGATACGCAATCGTGGGGTTGGAAACCGACTTCGAATTGAATCGAGTAGAGGCGAACTTTGCTTCCATGTTTTCGTGTTAGATTGTGAGTTTTCTATACTGTTTGGCAATTTATTGTCCCGAATGATTTTCATGCTGGATGACTCGGTGACTAACCTGTCAATTTTCCACTCGTAGGCTGCTTGACGTTTCAATCAGGAGCAATATTGAGCTATTAACTTTGGGCATGGTATTTGCTCAGCGAAGTTCACTTTATGAGACTTGGGCTTTGTTGGTGTCTGTCTCCACCTATTTCGATATCGTCAATCTCGCTATCACTAATCCCGACGGAAATACATGAAAAAGTTCGGATTCCAGTTGGCAAAATTGATGTGAAATCGATTTTACAGCTTAAACGAAACTACTACGATTTTTTTTAAATTAATTTTATGGACAACCATAAACACAACAATTTTTGTAACTGGCCCGTAATGTCGCCCGACCTCGTTCGTTCGTTTACCATTTCGAGCTCATACTCTACACTTCAGCCTTAAAGGCCTTTTTGCATTCCAAATGCTGATAATAACTTGAAAGGCCCTATTCAGATATACAGGGGGCAGTGAAAAGTATATATTTTTTAAATTATACACCCTGTATATTATGTCACCATACGATACATATTTTCAAACCCTATTCGGTAATACCCTAAAGCGGATTTACACCAAACCGACAAAACAGCAATTCGAGTTGAAAAAAAAACAAAACCGCAACTTTTTGCAGATTTCTTGAAGATTTTTCGGCAACTCAACAGTTGCTGTTTTGTTTTTCGTTTCTCGATCGATGTCGGTCACTTCAAAGAGTTGCTGCGTTTATTGCAACTCAGTCGGCTTGGTGTAAACGGCTGTGTTATCAACTTGAGTTGCGGCAAGGTTTTTTATTTTTATTTTCATCAACTGTTTCTCTGATGTGAAACGGCAGAAAACAAAAACTCGACAGCAACTTATTTTTTCTGTTTAGTGTGAACAGTTTTATCGTTAAAAACAGTTGAGTTTTTCTTTTTTAAAACAGGAACAAAACAGCAACTCAACTAGTCGGTTTGGTGTAAAATCGCCAGTATTTGACATATTTTTTTATACTTTATTAAAGTAAATTAACTAAAAGAAAACACTGTATTAATAGGTATCTGAATCTTGTTAAAAATAAAAACTTGTAACAAATCAACATTATTTTTTACTGGCCGGAACGGATATTTTCTTCCTGATACGCAACACATTCTTCAGTTCAAAACTTGTCTGTAGATGAACTAACGCATTTTCCATTTTATATATCCACTAGCTGACCCGGCGAACTTCGTTCCTCCTCTGAATTATTAAATACCTATTAAATGTTGTGTTAACGTAACTAAAGTGCGTTTTTTTTTTAAAGATAAAAGTCAAAATGACATTATGTTGGCAATACAATGTAAAATTGTCAATGCTTTCAAAATTTTTATGTAGAAAAGGCTTGTGTTGCCAACATAGTTACTAAATTTTTGAATTGGGGAATTATCTTTAAAAAAAAAACAGATTTTATTAACTGAATTAAATTCAGTTTTTTTCGATGGTGAATTTGGCTTTGGTTGAAGAAAATTAATTTTTACTCTCTGGATCAGAAGTTATCTAAAATTAAAATTTTACATCATCCCTTTTTAGGCATCTTGTGGGCATTATTCTTATAAAGTCTACCACCAAATAAATAAACTCAGGCACAAGAATGTTCAAAAAATTTAAAGAAAACAAAAAAAATCTCCAGCGCAGCCCTGTTTCATTTTATCTGCACTGCAATACTCCATCTGTTCTACTGTATCTGCACTATTCTATCTGATCTACTCTTTCTGCACCACTTTATCTGATCGGAATAGTGGAATAGTTCTGTTTGGAATAGCTCCAGTTCCTTAGCAGTATTCTGTTCTACTGTATCTGCAATGAAATTACCGCACAACGGCGACCTTCGTTCTTGGTACCTATCATATATGGCGCCGTATACAAAATGGTTGTGGCGGACTCATAACCTGGCTCTCTGCCACTCGACACCAGCCGGACGGAGCACTCCGAACAGTCGCCACGGAACACGGCTGTCAAGGGATCCCTAAGAGGAGAAACGGAACTTAGCCACAGAACGTCAATGGTCAAGCGTCAAGAAATGACAGGGAGACCAGTTCGCGCTCTTTCGGAATGAACGAACCAACAACAAAATAAAATACACAATTAAAACATTGTCATTCTATTTATTTTTGGACATTTTTACTGTGAAGAACAATTAAAAATAAAGTGCTTTCCTCAAATTGTTTTTGTGCAAAGTGTGTGACAATAAAATCCAAATGGTTTGCAATGAAAATGTGACGGTAAACTTGGTATCGGTTATAAGAGATGGCGCCGTATGCGGGCTTAGTGAGTTTTTTTCATAAATAAGTAAAATGGATATTTTTTTTTTTGTTTTTTTTTTTTTGGATTTTTTCGATTTATTATCGTAGGATGGACAAAGACAAATCCAATAAAGCAAAAATCATAAAAATCAGTCCAGCCGTTCTCGAGTTATAAGTGCTCAACACCAACACATCTGTGTTTTATATATAAATATAGATAATATATTGATCTCTTGCTTAATAAAATACTTAATATCTTTTGTGTTGTTAATGTTCAATTTGTAATTTTTTATTTTTTTTATATCCCCATAAGAAATTATCCAGCGGTGTTAAGTCTAAGGCTATTTGCTGACCATGGAATTGTCCCATTTCTCCTATCCTCGATCCTATCCATTCATTGAAATTCGTATGAAGATAGAGTTGCACTTTTTGTATTGCATGAGGTGGAGCACCATCATGCTGAAAAATAATACGCCCAAATTGCCTTAGAGGCAGGTTCTCAAGTTGCTCTTCTAAATAATTTTCTAGAAAATCGCGATAAAATGCACCAGTTAGTGTATTTAAAAAAAATACGGCCCGAATATTTTATTACGTAGTATTCCACAACACACAATTACTGCTCCACGACCTTGAAACCAAACTTCTCTTACAAAGTTTGGATTTTGGTTTGCCCACTGTATGAAATTTTGGCGATTTGGTATGCCACTTGTGGAGAAGCTGGATTCATCTGTCCATAATATGTTTTTTAAAAAATCCCTATCATTGTTTAATCTATTTAACATTAAATTGCTTAACTGGAGCCTCTGTTCTTTATGCCTCTCAGTCAGTTTTTGAACTTGAATTTTTTGATGCTACTCTCTAAATGC